GCTTGCACAGTTATCGGGCGATCTTGCGTTGTCTGAAGTTAGCGCCTTGTTCCCAGCTAATCTTTGTAACGAACTAGGGTATCCGTCCCTGTCCTCTGCCCAGCTCTGGGCTGCGAATTCCTGCGCCACACTTGCCGTACCGCACTACAGGACGAGCACTTAATCAACATGCATTGCTTAAATGTCAGCGTGTGATCTGTACTCCCTACTAACTTTCTGTGGGAAGGCCGTTGCGTCTGCGACCACACTCCCGTGGTACCCAAACCCTTCAAAGATAACTCCGACCAGCCCCAAAACACACCACGGAGCGGTCTCCCCTTCCCCACTCACTTCCCAGGTGGTACCCTGGGTCCTCTCGCTCACCAGCCCCTCCTCCCCTTGGCCCTTGTGACATCTGCCAGGCGTTCTTGCTGCACAGGCCGGTATTTCAGGAAACAATTAAAGTACCTCGGATGGATGTAGAGGCGCAGCTTGCCCTCCTTTCCCACCACTCACAGGCCGTTGATAAGCGTGGGTGTAGTGCATTAGCTGGGCATTCCAGTCTCCCACCACAGAGAGCCGTGCTTAACTCGGCTGTAACGACGCAGCTGTAGGAACTGCACTGCATGCGGCCGGTGACCTGCCATTATTATTTCCGGGTTGCAGTCCAGCATCGCGACCTGCAGCAACTCCTGCACAATAGCTAGCTTGCAGTCCCGCTCAGGCACTATTTGTTGTCCTGGGTGTTCGCATGACACCCACTCCAGCTGGGGCCCTCCCTCCAGGTGGCCTAGCCAACGTCTCTGTCTGTGAGGGGGCAGCCTTCTTTAGCTGCCTGGAAGAACTCTCACCACACTGCTACATGTGTAAGTAGCTTTCCTGGCTGGTAGTCCTCGGGTCCGGAAGCAAAAGACGATCTCTTCTACAACTCTTGCTCATTCTGCTGATCTACTGCGTCATGTCACCCTAGAGGCTGTAGCCTCTGTCCGGCCTCCTGTAGCAGCTGTATGCCTCGCTGCATGCTTCCTTGGGTGTCCCCGCTCCCCTTGCTGGTGCTCGTCC